AAAAACATCAATGGAGTTTTAGGCTGAATCGACAAGAGCATAGCTTCCAAATAAAGGCTGTATCCACACTGCAGAAACAATCCAGTCTGACACCACGTTAACGACCATGGCTCGATACTATGGAATCCTGGGAAGAGTTGTTTGTAATTGTAACAAACCATAAATCCTAGAATTCCATAGCATTGACCCATGGTCGTTAACGTGGTGCCAAACTGGATTATTTCTGCAGGTGATGCAGCCCAAGAAAAATAATAGTGCCACTCTATTCTGCTTTTGTCAGTCCTCACTTGGAAAACTGTGTCTGGGTCTGGGCACCGCAATTCAAGGATGTCAGCAAAACCAAGCCTTATGAGGAAACCAAGCCTTATGAGGAACAAATCAGAAAACTGAGTATGTTTAGCTCAGAAAAGAGAAAACTGAGAGATGTCATGATAGCCATCTTTGAATATCTAAAAGGATATAATGTAGAAAATGGAGAAAACTTGTTTTCTTCTGCTTCAGAGACTAGAACACAAACCAATGTATTCAAATTACAAGAAAAGAGATTACACCTAAATATTAGGATGAAATTCTTTACCGTAAGAACTGTTCGACAATTGAGTAGACTGCTGGGCAGGTGAGTGGATTCTCCCTCTTTGAAGATCTTTAAATAGCGGTTGGATGGGCATGTTTCAGGAGTGATGTAGTTGTGTACTCCTGCATGGCAGGGCACTGGGTTAGATAGCCTTTGTTCCCCATCCAGCTCTAAGAATCTATGGACTTTATCACACGGGCAAAAGAAACAGGATAATAGCGCTATGGTCCCATCAAAATCTGGCAATAACGGGATACTTTTCACACAACGTCACCATTATCTCATTATTATTCCATGAATAAAGTGGCAAAATTGTGATTATCCCATGAACCAAGCAGCAAAATCACACCACTTTTTATTCACAGGATTTTTCTGTGAATAAAAAGTAGCATGATTTTGCTGCTTTATTCACAGGATAATGGTGCGATGTCATGTGAAAAATATCCCGTTATTGCAAGATTTTGATAGGAGCGTAGCGCTATTATCCCATCTCTTTTGTCAGTGTGATAAAGTCCTATGATTCTATGTGCCAAGTACGGAGAGGATAGTGTGGGACTATAGGTTGAGTTATTGTACAAGACCTTAATTCATATGAGAGAAGGAGAGAATTAGAGAGATTTGTTGTACATCACAAAGAAGTACAGACACAATAAAAAACAATAGATGACACATTAAAATATACAAATCTATTATATATTATTCTGGTTCTTTGTTTACAGTAGATTCTTAAACAGTGATTACAAGAGATAATGTTGGGGTGCAGGCAAATGAGTAACACTTGAGGTGCCCAAGGAAATAAGGCATATAGAGATTATAAACTTGAAAGCAGCAGTCTACTTAACTCATTAGTTTGCCTCTGACACCAAATTAATTCCTTACACTTTGGAGGAAACATATTAATAGTATAAGACACTGTTGATGAACTCCATTTCTTGTGCTGGAGTGCTTCACTACCATATTAATTAATATTTTATGTTTTATAAATAATATTAAACTTTT